CGCTACCAGGTCGCTATCCTGAAAAGCAGTGCGTGCATCCGACAGTGTCAGCGAAATGAATAATGAAGTCGCCGCGTTGTCCGGTGGTGCTTGGCCTGGGTCAATTTATTCACACACGCATAGTCGGGTCCAGTGTTTTTATTGTCTACTGCCTCTTCGTCCCCCACACGTTTTGATTCGAAACACTTGGTGAACAAGAGTTTATAATAGTTGAAGAATGTTCTCAAGTTCTTCACTTCTGTGAAGAGAATATCTACTGCCTTCTCCGGACGAATTAATTTGGCCTTTGTATTCTCTGAATTAGTTCAGGCGGACCTTCTACTGCTGCCTGATCAACAATACTCTTCTACCCTGCTAGATTACAATTCATGCTTCTTGAAAACCGCGAAGAAACCAAAACTATGATAATGGTAATAAGTAAATTTGAATATTAAATCCTGCAACCAGCCCTTGGTACGAAAATGAGCCCACGTGCTTCATATAGATCCTGCATCTGTTCTTAACCAATAATTTCAGTCATTTACCGTCGTTATCACTTACTGTGTACTTGAGAAAAAGTCGACACGAAGACTTCGTTGGTTGGCCACTAAACAGAAGCGCGGGCAGACTTCGCGCGAATTTCTGGTAAAACTAGTGTCATACGGTCAGAAGTGTATTGATTTGCTAAGTGACACACATTATGTAGTCAAGGCTGCTGTAAAGCGCGATTTCGTAATACTCATGAACGTCACTCAATGATTATAGCGCGCTAGATTACGCTACGGTAACATTTGATGACAACATCATAGCACCAGCAGTAATAGGGCACTCATCTGTACTGCAATAACACCGAATGACAAGAGAGGCAGACAAGATCAAGTACCATCAAAGTTGTATCGAACACATACACAAGAGTATCAAGTAGATACATTTGAAACCTCAGTAAACGCGAAAGTTTCAGTAGCCTAGCTGTACATCCTACGTGTATTAAAACGCAAGTAAGTGATGCATTGGGCTTTGCGGTTCCTATAGGAACCCGATAATATACTACAGGGCGTAGGAATAGACCAAGAGCGATGCAACACAGAAAGAAAGACAGAGCATACCAACAGGAAAACAAAGCTTTTACACAAACGCAATAAGGAAACTTACTTCGCAGCTTTGTTGTATATGTTGGTCGCACTGTCAGGAACGCCATTTTGTCGCAGAATGTTGCCTGCCGTTTCCACACACTCAATCATTTTGGGAAAATCTGGTATATCACGGTATAAAGCAGAGGCCGTGTCGTAAGCCTTCGCACAATGGAAGAACGATCCGTTATCGGCATTTAACTTAGCTATCTGCAGGAATATTCGAAAGCACTAGAACATACGAGGCAATAGAGATCGGCGGATTCTTTACGCATTTTTAAATTCTGATATATAATGGCAGCTTTGCCATAGTACTCAACTGCACTGTCCAAATCGGGCTTCCACTTTAAAAACGAAGTTTTAAGGCTACAAATTAAGATGCGAAAGTCGTACCTCTTCTCGGCCTTCTTAATG